CGGTATACAAATATAGTAAATAATTAAATAATATATATATAAATATATATACTACATATTTATATATTATCCTCATTATCTATTGCATATTCAATTGCATATTGTATTTATATATTATCTATTTTATTATTATTTTATTATTATATTTTATATGTTTATATTGTTATTTTTATTATAACATTAATCCAAATTCCTTAAATCAAATTAAATTGCACCTGTTACATACAGAGACTTGGCAGCTGTTCTGTTGTGCTGGGCACGACTAATAACATTGAATTGACCGCATTAGAACGTAAAGGAATTGATAATAATGGGATAATAGTATATTGGGTCGTGGTGGTGCAGCAGATTGAACTGCTAAGCTGCTGAACTTGCTGACCAAAAGATCAGCTGTTTGAATCCGGGGATCAGGGAGAGCTCCTGCTGTTAGCCCCAGCTTCTGACAACTTAGTAATTCAAAAACATGTAAATGTGAGTAGATTGATAAGTACCACTTTGGCAGGAAGATAATAGCGCTCCATGCAGTCATGCAGCCACATGACCTTGGAGGTGTTTATGGACAACGCCGGCAATTCGGCTTGGAAAGGGAGATGAGCACCAACCCCCAGAGTCGGTCATGACTAGACTTAATGTCAGGTGAAAGCTTTACCTTTACTAATAGTATATTAGAGTTGTGTGTGTAGAACCAAATCATCTTTAGGTACTAAGTAATAATAAGTCTATGTATTACGCCTGGGCAATCCATGGTTCTAAATGGTTCTAAAGTACTTACAAAACTAAAGTTCTAGTGGTGAAAATTTCAGAACTCTAACAGAACTTTCAAAATTTAATTATTATTTCATTATTGGTGATTTTTATGATAGAATCAATTAGGAACTGCCATTTATAATGAAATTTTGAGAGTTTTGTTAGAGTTCTGAAATTTTCACCACCAGAACTTTAGATTTGTAAGTACTTTAGAACCATTTAGAACCATGGATTGCCCAGGCCTACTATGTATCCCTAGGGAAGATTCACACCCAATGCCCATACAATTGGAGGAAAATAGTTTTGTGCGTCACAGTGGAAAACAATGCAGGTGCCCCCACATTTCAGCTCAAGGACATTTGTTTCCCACTCTGTTTTGTGGTTAGGTCATAATGGAAGGGTTTTTGGGGGGTTAGAATCGACGCACGATTTTAACTGTGATGGAATTGTAGTTTCCAAGAACACCCACCTTCTCTGCCAAAGTGCCCTCACCAAACTATACATCCCAGATCCCATAACATTGACTGGAGGCAGTGGAAGCAGCCAAGCTGTGTCTCTGTCAGGTTTTGGGGTGAATGAGGCTCTCGAGAACACCCCAAAGGCCCACCTTCAGCCTGGTGCCCAAGGGAGCTCGTCTGTATTGGTGTGTGCGTGTCCTAGCACACGCCTGTGTGCACGTGTGGGCGTCCGGAAGGGAAATGAGCACATCAAGGCCCCATTGTCTGAGGGCACATCCTCTCCCACACAATGTAGGAGGAGGAGGGAGAAGCAAAAGGAACCCTTTGATCCCACTTGGAAGAAAGCCATCCTCTCCATCAACCTTGAAATGGACTCCAACTCCCACAATTCCTAACAGTCGGTTTCCATGTTCATAAGGGACACTGCGTCCACCCTTGTAAATAAATAATAACAATAGTAATAATAATAGGAAATGAAATGTATAACCCAGGAACAAAAATCGCGTTACATAGTGTTTTATTGTTGTTGTTGTTGTTGTTTAATAATACAAAAGCACAGATCTATATGCTGGATTTCGTTGTTGTTGTTATTATTATATTGTCATTGTTAGAACATGTAAAAAAATCAGTTGGTGAGTGTGTTCACTGAAAATGTAAAGCATGAAGCTGATTGGTTGAGCTATACTTGACAGGCTAGCTGAGTCTGGGAGTTTTGGCAACAGTTACATATTTACTGCAGGGGCGTACAGAGACAAGTCTTGCTTTTGGGCTACTGGAAGAAGAAGATCTTCCAACATGGACACATAAGGACCATTTGAAACTCTCTCACAAAGGGCATTGTGTGACTCAATGCAACTGTTCACATGACTGTATATATGTTGCTCTGCATTCCAAAGAGTAAACTTCTTGTTCTTTACTGATCATTTTTGTGGCATATCTTTTCTCTGGCAAGACTATGTGTGGGCTGGTAAAAACATGAACTATGCATAATTTAATTCATCCAATAGTTATTAATATTATTATTATCATTCCGTCTCCGCAGGGCTGCCCCCAACTGACCTCCAGGACCTCCTGATGGAGTTCGACCAGGTGGTCCAGGACTTTGACAATGGGGCTCCTTCCCAATACGGGCAACACTTGGCGGAGCTCAAGCAGCGGGTCTTGCCCAGCGCCTCCGACAGCGGCATCGAGGATTCAGAAAGTGAGTGGGGACGATGGGACATCATCTCTCTCACAGAGTTGGAAGAGACCGCATGGGCCATCTAGTTCAACTCCCTGCCATGCAGGGAAAGCGCCATTAGAGCCCTCCTGACAGATGAGCTTCCAGCTTCTGTTGAAAAGCCCCCAAAGAAGGAGCTTCCACCGGACTCTGAGGCAGAGAGTTCCACTGCTGAACAGCTAATGTTCAAATGGAATCTCCTTTCCTTTAATTTCAACCTATTGCTCTCTTACCATTTCTGCTCCTCTCTTGTGTGGACTTTGTTGACATCATGCAAATCAGCAAATTGTGAGTTTTGGAGGACAGGAGAGGGAATCGGTTCTGGTTTCTGGCACTTGGAAAGCCCTTTCCAAGGTTCTGGGCCCTATATCTATGTCAACGTGCTTTCAAGTCACCCCTAAAATTCACAGGGTTTTCCTTAAAGAAGACTATCTAAGGCAGTGTTTCTCAACCTGGGGGTCGGGACCCCTGGGGGGGGTCATGAGGGCGTGTCAGAGGGGTCGCCAAAGACCATAAAAAACACAGTATTTTCTGCTGGTCACGGGGAGGGGGGGTTCTGTGTGAGAAGTTTGACCCAATTCTATTGTTGGTGAGGTTCAGAATGCTCTTTGATTGTAGGTGGACTATAAATCCCAGCAACTACAACTCCCAAATCTCAAACTCCATCAGTGTTCACATTTGGGTACATTGAGCGCTCGTGCCAAGTTTGG